GAGGATCAACCCAAACTTCAGGAAACAAATCTGACCAAGGCAGGCTGAGGTCACAGGTAGAGGGCACCACAGAAACCTTCCAGTTGAACCTTCTGTTTACAAGCAGCCCCCAGGGTGTCAATTCCTGTGTATTGTTCAGAACTGATCTCTAAATTCCAGATGTGAGGATACAATTGACTGATCCCAGGTCACAGGCTTGAACTGCCAAAGTGAGGTGGGGGAGGGCCAGAAATATCCACCCAACTTGAGTTTCCACAATGGAAAGCAATATTTTTGTTTGAAACTCTCTCAAAATGGCAAGTGTTTGAATGTGGGGGGGGGGGAGGCAAAAATGACGGTAAGAATAATAGTTACATTTACCGTGTCCCTACAATGTCCCAGGCTTTGTCTTTCATATGCACTGTGATTAGGGTCCTCATTATGACCTCTGAAGTAAACAGTACCCACATCTTTTAGAGAGAAAAACCAACCACAGAGTTTGACTTACTCAAGTTTATCAGTAAGCATTGCACCTGGGATCAGAAGCCATGCAGTTTAGATTCAAGCCTGAGGTACTAAACATGGAACTGCATGATATATCCCCAGTTGCTTCTAAACACCTCCTTTCCCTGCTTATCCTAATGCCTGAGGCTTCCCAGTGCAGTTTGGGTTGTAATCCTCTAAGAAGAATCATTAGTGATCCTCTGTTAAAAGCTTCAAAACCTATGGTTCATCTACAGTATGAAACATTTTGCCATCTTTAAAAATCAAGAGGTAAAACTGATATTCTAAGACACATGGTTAAACTGTAATTGAAAAATAAAAAAATAAGAAAGTCAAAAAAATTAAGAAATATAGTTAAGTTTTAAATGAAAGGGTATTATAATATGATGTTACTGACATTAAAATATAAGACATAGGTAGCTATCAAAACATATTTATATATAAATATATAGAGAAAGCCTAGAAAGATGAACACCAGACTATTGGTATGGGAGTGGCATTGAACAGTTACAACGTTTCAAGTGGTATGAATGATTTAAAAAAGACAAATTTGCTTATAGCTTTCATCACTTGAAAACTGAAACTAAACCTAAATATACATATGTGTGTATGTATACATATACAGTTATTATATTCCTATGAAGGGAAGGACTTTTTCTAGGATGTGAATAATCCCCAAACAACTTGGCAGAAGAGAGCCAAACCAATTCCTCAAATACAGAGAACAAGCAGTTTTAGAGTCAGACAGACTTGTATTTTACTTCGGGTCCTGAAATTTTCAAATTGTTTTAGACTTTGGAAGTCATTTGGTGTTTGGATTTCCCGCTTGTAACATGACATTAAGAAATGAACCTCCCCACTGGCTGGGCTGTTTTCAGGATTATAATTAGTACATGAAAGAGCCTAGTAGCTATCAGGTGGCAGGGGATGTTAAGGCCACCAAGCACTCTAGCAAATGGGTGCCCAAGGCTCAGCAAGCTGAGGCACATTGATAAAATGATATAGGGAAAAGACCAAGTTCTGGAAAGAAAAAAAAATAAATAAAGGTCTGTCATATTTTCTGGGCGGCCCTCAGTTCCAACCTTATCTTTGAACAGCAGCTTGCCTGGCTTCTGTGACTTCCTTTCACTTAAGCTGTCTACTCCCCTGTGTGCAACGGCCACTGCACTAATCGGGCGGGATCTCTCTGGAACTGAGGTGCAAGTTTCTGCCCTCCTGCCCTCCTCCACTACCTCCTTCTCTTTTGTTCTTTATTTTAATTGTTATGGTGGGATAGCAACTACTGCATACATAGTCATTATAGTGAAGCCAGGGAAGCATGTTTGGGACATACATTTTCTTGGAAACACTGTGGAGAGTGATTTTTCCCATCCCTAGTTACAATTAACATTCAATAATGTATTAGTTTTGGGTGTATAGCATAGTGGTTAGACAATTAGTTGATTTACAAAGTGATACCCCAATAATTCTAGTACCCACTTAGCCTAACCCACAGTTATTACAGTATTATTGACTATTCCCTACACAGTACTTCACATCCCCGTGAGTATTTTGTAACTACGAAGTTGTACTTCTTAATCACTTCACCTTTTTCATCCAGCTCCCCAACTCCCCTTCCACCTGGCAACCCTTGGTTTGTTCTCTGTTTCTATGAGTCTCTATTTTGTTCATTTATTTTGTTCTTTATATTCCACATATAGGTGCAATCATATGGTGTCTGTCTTCTTCTGTCTGAGTTATTTCACTTAACATAATACCCGCTAAGTACATCTATGTTGTTGAAAATAGTAAGATTTAATTATTTTTTTATGGCTTGAGTATATTCCATCATTTAATGTACCATTACTTCTTTATTCAATCTATAGATGGGCACTTAGGTTGTTTCCATATCTTGGCTATTGGAAACACCATTTAAACACTAATGTAATGAACACAGGGATGTATGTATTCCTTCAAATTAGTGTTTTGGATTTCTTCCTATATATACACAGAAGTAGAATCGTTGGATCATCAGGCAGTTTCACTTAAATTTTTCAGGAATCTCGATATTGTTTTCCATAGTGGCTGCTCCAATCTGCATTCCCACCAACAATGCATGAAGGTTCCCTTTGAGAGAGAGGCAGGAGTAGGTGAGTAGGAAGGAAAAGATTAACCAAAGAACTTGTATGCATATATGCATAACTCATAGGCAACAGGGTGGTGGAGGCCGGGGGCAAAGTATGGGGGCAGACTATAGGAGGGTCAATGGGAGAGAAAAAGTGGACATATATAATACTTTCAAAAATAAAGATTTAATTAAAAAAAAGATTTAATAAATACAGAGAAACAAAGCAGTAGTGATCTTATTTTGATCTGTCATTAATATCAAAATTAGCAACTCCAATGAAAGTTTATAACAACCGTTATCCAAATGTACATATATTCAGAAATTGAGATAAAGAAATTGTGTGACTTACTTGAAGCCACACAGCAAGTTAAGGATCAATGTAGCATGAAAACATGGCTTACTCATTCTTGATCAGTTCACATTTACCTCACCCACTGAAAGTCTCTGAAGCAGGAAAAGAGAGCTGTCTGCAATCATTGACACTTCAGAACCGCCCTGCTCTCCAGCCTCTTCCTTTTGTGGTCAGAACTGTCAGGAGGACTTTCATCACACAACTATTTATCATCTGCCAGATCTTTGGTTCTTCCAAACCTTGTAATTTGAGCTTGATCCTCAGCTTTACTTAAGCCCAAGAGATCCTGATGATAAGCATTTGCTGACTGGAGTAATAAGAATGAACGGCACTATTGACGTTTCTGTTGGGATTCTAATATGTTTGTCATTTAAATGCAATTCATTACAGTAAGGCTGTCCCTATTTCCCTTTGTGACACGATTGGATTGCCTTGTAAACTGCTTGTGGTTGTTTTTTTTTTTTTCCTTATTTGAGACTGCCCTTAATTTAATTCACTCAAATAGTATTTATCAATTGTCCACCTTGTGCTAAGCATGTTATTGATCCTAGATAACAAAGATTTGCTAGTAAAAAAAGGGACAGGATCATGAAGTACAAATTGGTAATTATAAAATAGTCATGGGAATATAAAGTTTAGCTTAGGGAATACAGTCAGTAATCCTATATAAAGAGATAATATGCAAATTGACTGTCACTTCAACATGGCCAGCCCCTTGTGGACACAAGATGGCCACCACAAGATGGCCAATAGGGGAGAGTATTGGGAGGAACCAGGTCTGAAAGGGAGGGCAGTTGGGAACTACCAGGCCTGTTAGGGGTGACCAGGGAGGCCAGTTAGGGGTGACCAGGCCTGCAAGGGAGGGCTGTTGGGGGGGAACCAGGCTGCAAGGGGAGGGCAGTTGGAGGCACCCAGGCCTGCAGGGAAGGGCAGTTGGGGGCAACCAGGCCTGCAGGGGAGGGTAGTTGGGGGTGATAAGGCAGGCAGGGGAGCAGTTAGGCATTGATTATGCTGCAGGCAGAAGCAGTTAGGGGTAATCAGGGGGGCAGGCAGGTGAGCAGTTGGGAGCAAGCATTTCTGGATTATGAGAGGGATGTCCGACTGCCCCTTTAGGCCCACTGGTGATTGGGCCTAAAGGGGCAGTCGGATATTCCTTGAGGGGTTCCAAATTGGAGAGGGTGCAGATTGGGCTGAGAGACATCACCCCCCTCCACAGTGCACGAATTTCATGCACCAGGCCTCTAGTATTGTAATAACTATGTATGGTATTAGGTGGGTGTAAGACTTACTGGGGGGACACTTCATGAGTAATATACACCATTATATAAACTAGTCTAACAAATATGGTGTACACCGTAAATTAATATAATATTGAACATCAACTATAATTTCAAAATTTTAGAAATTTAAATGCTGTGCTAAAGAGACACAGCCACTGTCCTCAGGAGCATCAGGCCAGTGAGGGGGACAGTCATTTAAAAATATATCAGATAAATAACAAGCACCACATAAACACACACACCACCAACTATGGGTCGTACTATGGCAAAAAAGGTCCTTATCCAAGGAGAGGTGATAATGAGAAGCTGGGTGAAGTTGGGTGGTCAAGGAAGATGTCACCTTTTATCTGAGAACTGAGGGCGAAGTGTGTCGGATGCCAGCTATGGGGAGAGAATGCGTGGAAACAATGCCTCATTTACAAAGAACAGCTGGAGGGAAGAGCTAAAGAGAGAAATAATTATTTTCCCAGATTGTCCATGTCTCAGCTTATTTCAATACGAAGTTCTAGGCTCAGAGGAAGGGCAACAAATGTGAACTACTCAACCAGTCTAATACTGCAATACATGTAGTATACTTTATTATTTTGTTCAATTTGATTAGAGAGCATAATTTTCACCAATGGGTGGGACATTTTAACCAGTCTTGCCCACGTGTTTTTTTCCTTGCAATGTCATTGGTATACCCTCATGCAGTCCACACACAGAGCAGTCCCTCTGTTTTTATCAACCTCCCACAGCCTGTGAAACCCACAGTGTGCCTCTGCCCTTGGCCAGAAACATGAGGTTCAAATTCCCTCTCATGGCCATTGGCCTGGAGGTTGCCATGATTACTTTATTTGGATTATTTGTTCAGTATGAAACGGATCAGAATATTCTTCAGCCGCCCAGCAGCTCCAATTCAACAGATGTGGACAGATTCATTCATTTATACCCTTGTGAGTAGGCAATCTACTTCTTATACATTTTACATTCTTCAGGTTCTCAGAATGTGAAGTTTTTTTATATACTGTAGCCACTTGAGCTCCACATTGGAACCCCATATAGGGTTATGGGATAGTTGTAAGTACTAAGGGTATTATAAGTCTATACTCCGGCATCTGGTCTCTGTAATTATGGTGTTTGGATAGAATATGTGTCTATTAAGATATCAGTACAGGAAGCTCCAAGTTAAAATAATTGATAAACTTTTTGTGTTGCCTACCTATGGCTAAATGACCTTATTTTTCCTTTGAATTATTTATTAGTTATATAAAGTATAAAAATATCATTTCCCACTAAAAAAAAAAATAAACTAAAAAGGAACTTTGGAGAATAGAGAGTAGAAACAAATTGGAGTACTTAAAAGAGCAGCCAGGATTTCCTGGGGGGAAGCGGGGGGGCCAAGATATAAATAGTCATTTAGGGTCATGTAGGATTTAAATAAAGCTTTAATTGAAATGAATGCACTCATGGTTTTATAATATCCTGAAAGGAAGGAAGTTTGTTTCTTTGAGATGAAAATTGTGAACACCTAACATTTTAAAAGCAGAATCCCTCTCTGAATATGGTGACAGAGGAAAGAATGAATTTAATCTCAAGTTTAGAAGGGCAAGCTATGAAATAGTTAATATGACAATTGCTACCATACATATACTGATGGCTTTTGACAAAGCAGGCCTGTCTGATACCTCAGTAACCATAAAAGGCAGTGGCAATATATTTCTCTTACCTAGATTGTTTAGTTTTTAAATGAGGCTCAAAGAATTTTAAACAGTTAAAATTATTTAAAATGGTAGCAATGCCTATTTTACAAAAAAAATGTGTAAGCTTTTAAGAAACAATTTGACATTTGTTTTCTCATCTATATATATTTTGGGGAGTATTCTCATGTAGAACAGATCTAGAGCTACATGACTCAGCTGAAATACACAATTGCAAGTTAAGAGTTAGAATCATAAGTTGGAGAGTCAAACTCCAAGTCTAGTTCTATGTACATTACATAGATGTCCAAGAAGGTTCTTGATTAAATAATTTAATCATTTTCAAACTAGAAAATAAACAAAAATCAGAAGTCTGCTAAAATCTATATGCTTTTGTACATTTCACTATTCATCTAATAAATGTTTTTTATTTCATACCAAGCATGTGTTACAGCAAACTCATTCAAAAATGAAAGAAATATGATCTCTTTATTCTAAAACTGTGCTATTTGGTCCACATGTAAACAAAATATAAGAGGCAAAATGACAAACTATGATCTAAAATGAGTGTTATTGAAATAAGGTTACTTTGAGAACCTCATAATTTGCATAATTCAAGCTGAATTCTCTAAGTTCCAGTGTCAAATTTTCTAGGTAAAACTTCAATTCAAAATTTAAGGGGAAAAAACAAATTGGAGAGAATTACTAAACATGCTAATTTTGTGAGTTGCTTAGCAATCATATCACCCTTATACTCTACTTGCAAAAAAAAAAAACATGAAAATTAATTCATTTCATGATTTATTAAGAAAATATTTATTAAGCTCCTAAATCTTGTAAAACAATCTTCAGAGCTCTAGACTCTAGGAAGTGAATAAAACAAAACAGGCAAAGTAGGCAACATTCATGCCCTTATGAAGTTTATATTCCAAGAAGGCTGACTACAAACATACAAATATATATGTATATTAATATTTATAAAAATACTTATTTTAATTTATACATGTACACATAGATACACTTACATTTAGATGGTAATAAAATGTCACAGCAATAAATGAAGCGATATTAATGAAATAGATGCATCTGGACAAGAGAGGATATCTTTTGTGAAAAAAAAAGTCTTTTTTTGCAGGAGTGGTGGGGGGAAGATATGATGTGAAAGAAATGTCTTAATAGGCCAAGCTACAATTGCTTACATTTAATTAACTTCTACCATATGCATCTAGAATGATACCAATCCTGTACTGTCCTTGAGAGAATTATAAAATAGTCACTTAAATTGCCTTATTGTTCTGTGGCTTAAATGAGAAATCTGGTTGAGACAGGCAGTTAATGTATAGTCTAGATCAGTGATTTTCAGCTGGTGTGCCACTGCACATTGGTGTAACACAAGAAGTTTTAAAATATGCAATAGCTGACTTCATTTTCCTTTAGATTGTTGAATTTTAAAAGTGACAATAGTCGCCGAAACCGGTTTGGCTCAATTGGTAGAGCGTCGGCTTGGGGACTGAAAGGTCCCGGGTTCGATTCCGGTCAAGGGCATGTGCCTTGGTTGCGGGCATATCCCCAGTAGGGGGTGTGCAAGAGGCAGCTGATCAATGACTCTCTCATCGATGTTTCTAACTCTCTATCTCTCTCCCTTGCTCTCTGTACAAAATCAATAAAATATATATTTTTTAAAAAGTGACAATAGTCAATAGAACAAGAACTATCAGATGTAAATGTCCTGTCCTGAACCATAAGTATATCAGTCATATAGTAGAGCTGCATCTTATTGGTCATGATTCTATATATTAAAAGGCTAATATGTAAATTGACCACAGGGGAGGCACCGTGAAGCCAGAAGCCAGGCTCATGGCTGGTGCAGTGGCAGTGGTGAGAGCCTCTTTAGCCTCTGTGGCAGTGTGGACTGGCTGAGGGGACCCCTCCCCCCAATGCACAAATGTTGTGCACCAGGCCTCTAGTATGTAATAAGATTGCATCTGGTTCTTGGTACCAGAAATTCTTAAATACAATTATAGATACTTGTGTGTTTTTTTTAAGTTACTTTGGATCAAAAAGGATATATAATTACTATTATTTTTTTGTAAATCAATCAAAATTGTACCTATTTTTGTCACATTGGCAAAACATATATTTTTTGGTGTGCTGCAAAATATCAGTAATTAGTTATGTGTGATAAGAGGCAAAGGGTTGAAAATCATTGGTCTAGATAGTACTTTCTGCTTTGAAGTGACAGTAAATAAAGCTAGAAGAAACAAGAGAGTGAGCCATATAGATATTGAGACAAGGACATTTTATGTGGAAGAAATAGCATGTGCAAGGGTACTGGGGTATTTCATATATGTAGTGAGCAAGTGGAGAGAACAAAGTCATAGGTGTGAGAGCCTGGGCGCTGCTTGAGCATTGTGAGCACTTTGTTTTTATTCTGAGTGAGTTGAGAAGCCACTGGAGGACTTTGACAGGAGGACCAGATGTGACTTAGGTTTTAAAAGCTTTCTTCCTTCCGGCTGTTAAGTAGAAAAGAAATTGCAGGGGGTGACAGAGCTGAATAGAAAGACATAATAGGAAACCAGTTCAGTCACCCAGCAGAGAAATGATAGCAGGCTTCACCAAGGTGGTAGTGGAGGAAGTACTGAGAAATGGTCAAATGCTAGCTATAATTAAAAGCATAACAGGCAGCATTTTCTGATATGTCAGCTGTGTCAAACATGGGGAAAAAAGGAGAGGAATCTAAAATGATTTCAAAGATAGGATTCCTTTTCACTCTTTAAAGAAATCATCAAATTACAGTTGCCAATGATAGTGATGATTAACAATTATTGTGTTGTCCTTGAAACCAACAAAAGTTCCTTACTTACAAACAGCACTCCCCCACACAAACACACAAACACACAAACACACACACCACCATGACGATGACCTCTTCCCCACTTATAACGCCATGAGGCCAGGATATGGACTGGGGTGGGAGAAGGGAGGGACACTTCAGTCAGAGGCGCTGGGCATTAAGCAGAACACAAAGTGAAATTTTACATGGGAGGCATCTTCACTCCTTCAAAATGCTGTCCATAACCCAATCTATACTCAATTAAACAGTCTCTCATTTATGAAGTGGAAATAAGGCCTGAAACTATGGCTAATACTAATCTTCCAAGTCAGCTATATCATTCCTGGTTAAAATATTGTGTAGAATAGCCCTAGGAACTACATGATTATGGTTTTACATGCATATTTTCCCTACATTTTAAATAATGGACTTGCACATTATTGTGGAACAGCATGTCATTGTGGAGAATATTATTAAATACTAACTCATGAAAAAGCAATGTTCAAGTCTTCACTCCTTCAAAATGCTGTCCATAACCCAATCTATACTCAATTAAACAGTCTCTCATCTATGAAGTGGAAACAAGGCCTGAAACTATGGCTAATACTAATCTTCCAAGTCAGCTATATCATTCCTGGTTAAAATATTGTGTAGAATAGCCCTAGGAACTACATGATTATGGTTTTACATGCATATTTTTCCTACATTTTAAATAATGGACTTGCACATTATCGTGGAACAGCATGTCATTGAAGAGAAGATTATTAAATACTAACTCATGAAAAAGCAATGTTCAAGTCAACGCATGTTTTGGGGAGCCTCCTGGAGCCGTGCACTGTGCCAGGTACAGGGACTCAAACAGAATCCCTGCCTAAGTGTATTTCAACAGTTCTCAATTGTGATGCAGTAGAACTTATGAGTTTTTCACAAATAAGTAAAGTAAGGTATTTATATTTTAAGTGAATTCAATCAGATATCTCTCTCTGATTTTCTCGCATACTGCTGTGCTTTTGTGAAGAATAATAAAAATGAAGAATGATGTTACTTACAAAGGCCTGGGATTAGCATTCATCCCAGGGCACAACCATGGAATGTGTGGCATTCCTGAATGGCCTGTTTCATGTCGTGAATAACCCCAGAGATACCCATTTGAAAAATTAGCTCTACTGGATAGTATTTGGCTGCCATGGCATCTAGCAAAGTGTTGGTTACTGTGTTGAGGCAAATGATTTGACAAGGAATAAAGCTTGACTATGACTGTCAGCTAATCCTTGCTAATATGTACACAACTAGAGAAAAGTAAAGTTTAAGAAGAAAGCCCTTTGAGAACTGCTAATATTTTATTAGAGATTCCACAAACACAGTGATGCCTATGAGACAGTAAAACTATATTAATGACCTTTTGGTACTTCATTACATTAAA